AAAATGAGAACATCTTTAATGTATTCGAAGCCAATTAAATACGCATTTTTAAGGATAACTCAAAAACCACTGGTCAGATCTTGATCAATTTATATGCAACCACACGAGAAGCACCAGCTTTCAAATTAAAAAAGAATCATCAAAATCGGTTCACCCAGAAAAAAAGTTCTGAACACTCGAATTGAGTACCTTCTCCTTTGTGAAGTCAGTTAAAAACTACGGTTGCAACCCACCAAGCAAGTACCTCCTTTGTGAGATTAATTTGAGGAGGGAGGTGGATTTGGAAATCTCGGAAATGGTTATGAAGATGATGATTATAAAAGTAACAACGAAAACTATTTAGAAACGTCAACAATAAAAAATCTTTTTAATAAACAGTGAAACCATAAATTCTCAGGCAGGAATTGATCTTGCCAAGAATGATACGTGAGGCTATTGAAATTAAAATACATCCTAATTTCAATAGAGAAGGAGGCTGGGTACTACTGTAATTAATAAAATTAAAACTAAACCCAAGCACACCACTGCAAGTATTTAAGTCAGTAAGTTCATTCTTTGTAGACAGGAACGTAAGTAATAATTAAAAGCTGAAGGTACTCCGGGTTAAGATTGACATCAGGACGTCAGTCACCTCAGTCCCCCGTGACCATGGCTGGGAAGCACCCGAAACGTCTGGAGTTTTAATTAACTAAATTAAAGACGATAAAATCCACAAAAGCAAAAGAATAAAATAATTTGAAGTTGGCTTTTATTTTCTATTAATAGTTATTTGTAGGGATGTTATTTTATTTCCGAATTTATAAGAGTCGGCTAGACCGAGCAAGAATGACGATCTTATGCTGTGATTTGTATTGTAAGTGTAGACAATCCTATAAAAAAATTGCCCTCATTGTAAACCGATTTTGATAGTGATAGATTACTTAGGGTGTGGCTTGCTCCTTTTCTACAAAAAGGATAACAAACGAACACACAGTCCACCTGATGCTAAGTGGTTGCTGTGGCCCATAGACATCTACATCTATCCTCGATTACTAATCAAAATGGAGAGCAACGCCTCTCCCACGCCTCACCCGTGAGGACTAAGATGGAATGCCTAGTTTCCAGTAAAAGGGTCTCCGGTTCTCCACACTCACCAAAGGCATTAAGTCTGCCTATACGTATTGTACGAAGTTTTGATAAATAAATAAATAAATAACCTAACGCTTACCAGGTGTCGGTAGTTGGAACTGAGGTTAACTTACTTACTACGCAAATGGTTACAGTGTCATCATAATTGAAAAGTTGCGTTTAAATTTATAGTTTTTCTGTTTTTAAGGTATAAATACAAAACAGTGCCTGAGTGATGTATTCTTTAATATTTTTTTAATAGAAGAGGGGGCGAACGAACATGCAGCTCTCCTGATGGTAAGTGACTACCGCTTGCCATGAACAACTGCAACACCAGTGAAGTTGCACATGCGTTACCGGCCTCTTAGAAAGGAGTAAGCTCTTTGTTTTGAGGGTCCCTAAGTCGTATTGGTCCGAAAAATCACCCCGGTAGCTGACGATTCCACAGAAGGATCGTAAGAGGAAAAAAATCCTGGTAAAACGTACCGTAATGGACCGCCAAGCGTTCAGATGGTGTTGATCGTATCATGGGTTATGTCGCGATATGCGTTCGTTGAATTTGGCGGCTGAAATTCGTTCTAGCACTTCCTCCGAGCATGAGATCCAACATATCTTCTCAGAGCCAGTGTATCGAGCCGATCGGAGAGGACTCGGTCATCGACGATTCGAGCTGCTCTGCGCTGGATGTGGTCAAATGGAAAGAGCTGGCACTGGGGAGCCTCGACCCAAAGATAGGAACAGTATTCCATGTGTGGCCGAAACTGCACCTTGTAACGTTGCAGGCGGTGTGCCAGCATGAAATACTGTCCCGACCTGCTGAGCACAACATGCTTTTTAGAAGCCAATTTGGCCTTCTCTTCCAGGTGACCACGAACTCACGTCACTGGATATGTCGACCCCGAGGAATCCGATACTGGCTGAGGCAACGAGGGGACTGCCTTGAAACTGAGGAAATACGACAAACGGGTGCTTTCTTGCTCGCAAACTTGTGCCTTCTGGGGATTGAATTGGACTAGATTTAGTCACCTCCAATCAGACTTTAATCAACAATTTCTCGACTACAGACACTAGTTTGTCCAGGTAATCGGCGACGTTTTCCCGAGAAATATTGGCACGGTCGTTGTATAAAGCATCACCACCGCTGTCGTATAGCAATGAATGTTACCGGCTTGCAACTTATCATTGATATGCAGATGAAACAACCTTGGTGATAGCATGCAACTTTGTGAAACACGAACGTTAATGGTCTTGCAATCGGGGCATGCACCGTCTTCTAGAACTTTGATGCTCCTATCAGCAAAGAAACTGGTCATCCAATGGCACAATTTCTCGGGAAGCCCATAGGAAGGAAACTTCGACAGAAGCGCTTTATACCAAACCCGATCGAAAGCCTTCGCTATGTCCCAACTAACCGCCGGAGCCTTACCTTGGAATCGATCACCTGCATCCATCGGTGTGTTAGATAAACAGGATGATCACCAGCTGAGCGACCCCAAAGGAAACCGTGCTGGCAGTAACTAATCAACTGGTGCTCTTCAAGGTACCGCATAAGCTGGTTGTTAATAATGGACTCCATTCGTTTGGAGAACAAGGAGGTGATGGCGATAGGCCTGTAGTTGGACGGATCGAATATACGAGATCTGTCTTCTATGAATTCGGGACTACGCCTAGAGAGTAGGAGAAAAGACCCGTTAGAACCGGTGCCAACTCTGGAGCACACGTCCTCAGCATAACTGGGGAGATTCCGTCAGGCCTACTCGACTTGTGGATGTCCAGGGAGAACAGTCAATACGTACTGAGCACTGTGTGAATCGTACATCAAGCATAGACCACTCACAACGCGGGTAGTCGGCGGTGTGTTCCCCCCGTCAAAAGCAGAGTAAGGATTTCTTTACTCATGTGCTAAAAGATCGGCTTTCTCTTTTGCCGCGTGAGCCAGTGAGCCGTCCATGTAGAGATGGTAGTGATGTCTTACAGAAAATACCAGAGAGACCAGAACGCATGGGTTCCCGAAGGAAGGCGAACTAATTTCTCGCCATTTCCGCCAATGTGCTCATACTTTCCCTTGGTAATAACTTTTTGAAGGACCTAGAGGCGAAGTTGCACTTCTTTTTAATCTTGCTGGTGTTTACATCCCGAACCGCCTAATCATAAGCTCCAGCCTGACAGCACTCATGCTTATTGCGTAATGTAGTCTTACAAGAGCGATCAAACCAAGGTTGGGATCTCCCTCCGATTGGTCCCACAAATAATGGAATAAATAGTTTCATTTCCTGTAGCACCACATCAGTGACAGAGTCAACAACAGCGCTGGGATCATCCAGCGAGAAGCAAACCCGACTCCATGAGTAAGATGCAAAGAAAGACCGTATTGCGTCCTAATCTGACCTGTAATGTCAAACGCGGCGGCCGCGTGCAGAATACACCCACGCATCGAACCTCAAAGGGGGCGTGAATGACACCACACTCCGGATCAGACAATAGTTCGAGGAGCCAAGAGGGGCATCATCGTAAACTTGATATCCGTCAGCAGAAGGAAAGGAAGGAAAGATGCATGAACCACCACAGCTGCAATCCGTGTAGGCGAAGTAGCCAGCTGTGTCAGAACATACGCCAAAGAAAATTCATAAACAGATCTCGGCTTTAAAATTACCAAGGATCACGATCTCTGCGGATGGAATCTGCTGTAGCAAGAAACCTGCAGCCATTTAGACGTAGTCGATAAGTCGGTCTGTTTCGGCATTACCTCTATGGGATCTATGAGGCACCCTTAGACGTGGGGACGGTCGTCGCTGTCTACGCGTAGCCAAAGGATGAACAGGTCCGAATCTTCAAGACTGCCGAGGCGTCGAGAATAGATATCCTCTTTTACGTATACGCAAACCCCAGACCGAGGCACAAAGGAGTGTTCCAATTTGTACCCCGGGTAGGCGAGATACGAAGTATCAGTCGGAGGCACCAGCGTCTCGGTCAGAAAGAGCAAGGCCAGCTTCGCCATCTCCAGATGGTAGGACGGCGGTTAGGTTCAAGTGAAGCCCCCTAATGTTGCAGAAATTCACGCATAGCATGGCAGAGGTCACCTTAGTCTTTTTGCTCAGTTTACCCTGAGCAGTTTTTGTCTTGAGCGGAATATTACCCCCCCCCTCCCTCCTCTGGACAAGAATACGCGGGTTAGCCTAAGCACCCATGCTCAGGAGTGGAGCAACTTGGTCGTGGATGCTCAGCGGGGGATTCTCCATTACCATGGCTACTGGTACCCTCCTGTTGTAGTCTCTTATTCAATTCCGCTAGCAGGTTGAATGGGAGGGGGGGAATTGGGTCTTGTTTCACCTGCGCTCACTAGACGAAACGCATAAGCAGAGCTTCTGCTTGACACTGGTATTCTGTGAAGTCGTGGTACCATCCCGGTTTGAGCCAACCCATACGTGCAACAGCAAAAGCTTCCGCGTGGCTCTAACACTGTTAAACAGCAAAAGAGGGTCATCGGAGGTCTGATACCTCTTACTACACAAAAACTTTCTGAAATATGCTGCTATTGTACGTCGGTATCCTAACTATACTACTCTACACTCTGTGTGGTCCTTCCCCGGTCGAGTCAATCCATTGCATGTCGCGTAAATACCAAAGTGGTTCCATCACTCAATATACGAAATGACTATTTTAGATTAATAAAAATACTAATCGTATGATCGCATTACTACTTACAAACTTGGCTCGAGCCGAATATCAAAACAATATCCTTACATTATTAAACAGTTCTCTAATGTCATAAAACATTGGCAGCAGTTTTAAACACAATGCTTGCGCACCATATAAACTACTATCGATCTAAAAAATAATAGTGCAGTTACAATTTTCTTATCGTAGAAACATGTCGAGTTGAGTTTGAAGAAATGTATTCGTTTTTAACTTTACTTTTGATGTTAGTGTGTGAGTGTCGATTCATTTTCATGTTAGATTACTTTTTAAAAGGCCAAAAATTTATCGATACGAGTGCTGTGTTGAATTATGTTTTAAACGATCACTATCTGAATTCTACTATTATAATCTTTATATATAAAAATTCATCGCAGACATATAATGTGACACGCAGATTATTTGTCTGCGATGAACTCCTAAAATACTAAACAGATTTCAATAAAAATTTTGCACAATATGTTCAGTTTGATGCAACTTGAGAGATAGGATAGTTTTTATCCCGATTGGTGACCGTCAATAATTTTTAACACGAATTTAATGATTTTTTAAGACAAAGGTTCGTCGGAGAGAGCAGAAAACGTCCGCCTGGAAATTGAGATGGGACGACTTATGAACTTACAGTCCACATCCACAGTTAATGGACACACGCAACTAACTTCAAACAAAGTATGCCACAGCTACTAATGTGTTGTCTCCATAAAAGATTGCTTCATATGGCTAAAAGCTCCCATTCGCATATTTGCAACGCTTGGGCGGTGGCTTGGAAATCATCATTTTTAATTATTTTTGAGATTTTCTCAGGAAGTTTTTAGTTACAGTTGTAACTGCTGATTTCCCGCGAGCTCGGTGTTGACGGAAAACACCGTGAAGAAATCTGCATATCCGAGAAATTAAAAAATAAACAAATAAATCGAAGACGACGTTACTTTGCTCGGAAACCCTCTTAGAAATGAGAGGTTTGCGCCAAGGAGTGGGACTTATATAGGCAATAACTTTTATAATTAGGAAAATCCTAGTGGCGATCTGTTTTAGTTTCCTTCTCTCCTTACGACTTATCTCTTCTTACGACACTCACGGAATAATAGAGGAGATGGATTATTTTAATCAGTCTTTTTTTAAGCAAGTGGATACTTTGGCTCAAAGACATCTATTTTGCTCCCCGTTATCCCTCCCTCACAGTTAGTATGCCTCGTTTTCAGTAAAAAGGGTCGCCGGTTCTCTGCACTCACGATATCTATTATCTTGATGTTAATGCTGTTAGTCTATACGACTCTTACAGCTTCATCTTGTCACAGGGCTCGCGGCCTGCAAGGCCGCGAGCTAATTAAAAAAGGGAAAGGCAATGAGGTGAAATGATGATGAATGATTTATGATTTGATATTGTTATCAATCATCATGTCGCCTTTTAGGCGTTTACTCACGATACGAAACACAGCGGCATTAAGCTGTTTTTATATTTTTATGTCATTTGATGTTTCAGATTACATTACAATAGAACATCATTTTCTATCCGTTAATGATAACAAGAAACCCGTGTTGATGCCATGGATGGGGGTATTGATTTATAAAGCAGGTGAGTCTTACTATTCATATAATATGTCGCAGGTTTATGGTAAAATCAGGTTTTTGATCAAGAACCGTAAGAAGACAAAGTTATTAATACATCTTATCATTAACCTGAAAATCCTGTTTTTTTTTTAAATAAAAAAAAACTAAAGATTTAGGCTTGGTTTAAAATTTAAGCTTACGTTAGGTTAGGTTAGGTTAGGTTGAAATACAACTAGTTTTTACGGTTGGTGTCGCATATAATAACTTATTTTATATTTAAATAAAACTAGTTTTTGCCGATTTTATCGCGTATTTTAACTTATTTTATATACCCAACGTTTCGAGCACTTTACAGAATCCATGGTCACGGGAAGGACTGAAGTGTTCGACGTCCTAATGTCACAGTTAACGACGGCTACATTCAGATTAAAATTATTTCTTTTTGTTCCGATCTACCCAGTATGAACTGATTGTATCTTGAATTCTTACAGTTGTATGCTTGAGTTGGAATTTGACTTCATTAATTATAGGATCCCAAGCAAATGTTAGCACCCAGCCATCTTCTCTATTGAAATTAGGATGTTTATTGAATTTAATAGCCTCGCTAATAATTTTTGGTAGAAATAGGTATTTTTTAGTCAAGTTTTGAGATTTATAAAATCTGATGTAGTGACGGGGGCGAACCTGAACGTGTTCACAGGATAAAATAGGTCATTGTACGCAATGAAATCCGTAAAACCTAGTTTTATTTTAATGTGTAGTGTTTTCAAAAAACTGTAATTTCTCAGGTTTATATTAACAAAAAGTAGCAATTTCATCTTCTTCCGGTTCTTGATCAAAAGCCTTGGTTTTTGATAAAAGACATATTATGAACCTGAATATATATTTTGAAGTTCTATGAAAAAATGCAGAAAGATTGCTGATTGATTTTGCTTGTGCACTATTTCACTAGAGCCTGTATTACTTCCCTGTTGAACAATATACATTACCTCATGTGGGATTTTACTATAATTACCACAGTTGGTAGGCGGTTTTTTTTAAAACTATTTTGAGTTCTTATCAGATGGATGCTGTGGCCAATCTCCATTTTTAGTTTTCCTCTGCCGCCTCTTTACGACACGCGACTATTTGGGGTAGTGAATACCCTTACACCGCCACTAATGTACATTTTGAGGAATCTTCTTCAACGAAGTAGAAGATATTCATCAACCCTTAAAAGTACACTATTGGATATAGGGTAGGGAGGATTTGCCTTTATTGTCACTTCTGACTTTAAGAAGGTGAGGGGTTTTACTACACGTGCAGTTAAAGAACGGGATTGAAAATGGCGGCGCACCTATTTACCTCTCGCTCGCACACTGTCGCTGTCTATACTCACACATGACGGTATAGACTGTAAAAAAATACGTTGCGTTATGCGTTTTTCGTACGTTCTATAACTTCAGTGCTACTTGTCAATGGAATCAATAATAACAAATGCCATAAATCACATAAAAAAGCAGACTAATTTTGCTAATTTGTGTGCTATTGAGAGTTTTATTCTCTGTTGTTGATTTTATTTGTTAATATTTTTGTATTTTTAAATAATTTGAACAAATAGTGAAGTAATACCAGTAGTGAGCTGGACTAAATTTTATCCGAAAAATTTAGATATTATATTAAATTGAAATATTGATATTATGAAATAAATAGACTTTGATGATTACCTTAAGTCCAAATAACGCCACAATATTAGAAAACGCCCAGGCGAAGCCAGAGCGGGTCGCTAGTTATAAATTTGATCTAAAATTAATGAACCTACTTGCATGTACAGTTTTTTTTAACAAATATTTTCTCATTAATAGAAAATTTCCAATTAACCGAATAATATAACGTTATACCGATATACCGTTATTAGCACGTTTTCGTTATTGATACTGAATATGAAGATGGGATGAAAACGGACTCTATGAGTCGCCATTTCTAATCCCATTCTTTATCCGTATGGACTATGCGTGGCTATTCTTCGTCTTCATTAGCCCATAAAAAGTCTACTTCTAGGCACTGACCTCGCCAGCTGTAGACAGTCATATTGACTATTGCGGTAGCAAAACTCTTGCACATTTGACGCAGCTGAATACTTCAGTATATGCAACTTTTATAATATCATAGCCGGTAATTTTTTTTAGAAGATCAATCGCATTTCGCATTCATCGCTCGTTACAGCCTATTCAATTCCAGTGCTGAATATAGATCTCCTTCATAGAATGTCTCATAGGGCAGATATTTGCAATAGTGAGTGCATCGTTGGTCTAGTGGTTGTAGTAGCGCGACTGCTGATCATGAGTTCCCGTGTTCAAATCCGGGGTCGGGCCACAAAATCAGCTATTGAGTTTTTTCATTAAGAAGTTCTCAGTAGCTGCCTGGAGTCAGGAAGTTGGCTACGCGATCAATGTTCACTATATTCATCTTACATGGAATTTAATGTATAATTAAGTAAACATCAAATTATTTTCCAGATAATCAGTCAGTAGAAGAAGTTACTAATATTGTGATGATAGAACATCGAGTAGCTATAGGGAACGCAAAAGACATTACAGCCGTGGACGAGAATTCACTAATGTATCGTATGAATTTTATATTGATTTGTAAGGGCGTATAAACCAGCCGTGAAGTGGCGGAGTAGTGATATTAACGGCCTGTGTTTTGAAGTAAAACAGTATATAAACAATAGCTCTGAACTCCACTCGGAGCGTTGACTGCTCCCCGAGCAGAACAACTTGACCGGCGTGAGATCCCCCTTTTCCTTCTACCGCCATAGACTTGTATTTTTAATTATTATTATTTATAAATAATAATAGAATCAGCCGTTAATTTGCGGAAATCCTTTATACTAAATTGGTAAGAATCAGAAGTCACTTCGCTCACTTAGCGGTCAGCCACCGTACAGTCTACATCACCTGCGGGATGCCTCGTGTAGAGGCGAAACACGTGTCGTGTTATCGTCGATGGTATGTCTTTCCTAGTGTAGTCGTGTTAGGAGTAGTGGTCCTGGGATTAGTGGCGAAGGGATTAATGGTGACGGAATTAGTGCACGCAATTGAGGGAGGATGGGAGGTGCTCTTCAAACTAGGTAAGACACGTCATTTTTTTTTGGGCGGTTATGTGCGAGGTAATTCTTACCAACTTTAGTATTATTAATTTGTTATTAGGAAGTTGCTACTGCCCATCTTTTGATTTTCTGATGGATTAATAGATTTTCTTACACCGCCACTACACGGCTAAGCCCTAGTCAATCATATAAAAATCTATTGAGATGGAAGCGTTCTATTCTGCATGAGAATCTAAGTCTGTGACTGCAACCCCATCCTCTGATCTCACAAAGTTTACAAGGGTAACAATGCATCCATGCAGGATCCAGATGTCCATATTTTGCGTTGTAGAATCACGCTGTAGCTATACTATGGTTGTAGCACGAAGGGATTGTCTCCAACGGGGAATAATGACACACTTATAGGAGTAAATTTGCAGTTTAATACTTATGTGTTTCGTATAATGAGTGTAGAAAATTCGACACGCTTATAACTAGTAACGAGGTATTCTTCTTTAGTCCTCAGATGTGACAACGCGTCTGGAAACCTCCTGGATTATAAGTTAGTTTGTCGCTTTGGTTTTTAACCCCGACGAAAAATAGGAGTGTTATATGTTAAACGTTTTTATCTGTGTTTTTGTGAATCTGTGTACAATTTGCAGCACGTAACTCTAGCGCTGAACGAAACGTGGAGGGGATAGCTGCGAACGTCGTATCATTGCGGGGGATAGAATGCGACTAGAGGGCCAATCAGCGCTTGCGAACGATACGCACAGCCAATCATACGCAATAATGGGCAGTACAACCAATTATGCGCAATAACGGTCACCGCTAGACTTTCGTTCCGAGAGTTGTATTTATGTGTCTATCTGTGGTATCGTAGCTCCCAAACGGATAAACAAATTTAGATTTAGTTTCTATTGGTTTCAAAGGTGACTTAATCGAGAGTGTTCTTAGCCATGATTCAAGAAAATCATTTCAGCCGTTTGAAGATCTTTAGCTCTTTTTGTTTCGGTTTTTTTTTTAATTTTCAATTTAATGTAATATATAAAAATTAATATTTGTTTCTTCGTATTTTATGCGCTGCCATACTGTTCATCAGATTGAGATTAAACTTTGTGAAGTTATTGCATATACTTATTTGAAGGTTATAGGCGTAGTTATACCCGGTAGATGGTGCTGTTGTAGAATGCAGATATCACCCGTGCCAAGCCGAGCTATTTCGCTAGTATTATATAAATAACTTAAATAGAGATTTAAAAATCCCCCGAAACAAAAAGAGCTGATGATCTTCAAACAGCTGAACAGATCTTCAAATGACATCTTCCACCAAAGCAAATCAGTCTTTAAAAATATATTATTTCCACTTAAGTAAGAAATTATAACAAACACACATACACTCACGCACTCTACTTCTTCCTCTCTCTCTCTCTCTCTACACACACACACACACACACACACACACACACACACACACACGTGTATGTGATGTAAATTAAATTTATTTTATTTATTATTGTATAGTCAGACAGTTCTTGTGTAATATCCTTTTTTGTCTCTGCTTATTGTCTCTTTCTTTCTTGTGAAACTTATTTTTGAAATAACTTTAATATATCCAAGTACTTTAAAATTAATATTATAAATTTGAAATTTTGTTAATTGTAATATTATTAGTTGTAAATTATAACAAGCGATGGTATGTACATTTATATAAAGTAAGAACGTGTTATTGGCATTATGGATTGTCTGAGACGTTCTGTTAATATTTATAACGTGCTGTTGGTTGGCAAATTTTACACACTAGAAACTTATAACACCCCTCTGTTTTCGTGAGGGGTTAAAATTTTTTATTGTGCATAGATATAGTTATATGTACCGTGCGTCACAACGTTCAATTACCATCAGTTGGAGTGTGTGCTCGTTCGCTATTCTTACCCTACTAAAAATGTTTGTAGTACCACAGTAGGTAATGTAAGTTTCTACGACCAGGAAAAGAAGGTTAGCTTGGGTGTGGATGCTCAGCGAGGGAATCTCCGACACCAGGAGTGCTGGTACTCTCCTGGGGTAATGTCTTATTTAACTCCGCTACTATGTTAAAGGGAAGAAATATGACCTCCGGCGGTGGTAGAGCCATGCTGCAGTTATATTAGTAGTAAAGTTGTAGCATAAATGGGTCGGCTCGACCGGGGAAGGACCACGCTCTCACAGTACAGCTCTCAGCGTGAAATAGTAGCTTAATGCTGCTGTGTTTCGTACGGTGAGTGTAGAGAACCGGAGACACTTTTGACTGGAAACGAGGTATTCTACCTAAGTCCTCACGGATGACAACACATCTGCATTTTGATTCGTAATCGAGCATAGATGTAGATGTCTATGGGCCGCAGCAACCACTTACAATCAGGGGAACTGTGTGCTCGATTGTCATCCTATCCTATAAAAATACCTGCACTCACCAAGCGAAACGCAGAAGTAAACTTCTACTTCACCCTGGTATTCTGTGTGTTTGTGTTACCATCACGGTTCGAGGCAGCCAATCCATGCGAAAACAAAAGCTGCCGCGTGGCTCTACCACTGTGACTTCTTATATGAAAATAAATAATTCTGCTGATTATTTTCCAGGACGTCTGCTAGAGCAATGTTTTACACCACGAAAGGTAGTCAATGGTCTTGTGGCATTATTAGTTACCTATTGCATCCTGAATTCAAGCAAGGTTTTCTGAATACAATAGTTATCCTATATTTGGATAGTGTTGATGATCCTTATCTTTGTAAGTATCCAACAATTATAAACATATTTAAGTTTAAAGTGGAAGTGATTGATGAACTTAGGCTTTACATGATGCTAAGTGAATAAGTTTCTGCCTCGTTGGTCCAGTGGTTGTAGTAGTGCGACTGCTGATCATGAGGTCCTGGGTTCGATTCCCGGGTCGGGCCAAAAATCAATTATTGAGTCAGGAAGTTGGCGATGTCTCACCCCCGTGCCTTGGAAAGCACGTAAAGCTGTTGGGCCTGCGCCTGATCTCTCTCCGGTCGTGTCGGTGTACCGTCCCATCGGATTATGAGCGTGTGGGAACAGAGAGTGCACCTGTGCTTGCGCATGCACTTGGGCACTATAATCTTGTCCTGCGCCGATGGCTAGCCTTCGTTGAGGCAGGCCGCCGTGGCCGAAATTCGGTCTGGAGGACATTATTATTATTATAAGTTTCTGCAGGTCATGCTTTAGATTCATTATTATCTCCGCGGATTAAGATAGAACGCCTTACAGCGTGTAATTATCCTGCCTCTCTATGCTTCGTTGTAAGTGTTAATGTTCTGCATTCACCACCATCATTAATCACCATCAGGTTGCCTGTTAGCGAAATTATTACAATACTGTTAAAAATATTGTAATTTACCTAAACAGGGTTAGTTATTCAAAGAGTAGTCAAATTTTAAAATTAAGTTCAAATATCTAAATAATAGTATACCATTATTGCAGTTTTTGAAAATACGAGTAAATAAGTCTTTTATTTGAAATTATCCGAAATTGAATGTGATATATGGGCAAGAACGTTTTTTCATACTGATCGACCCTCACGAATATGCGTGCGCCGTAAAATCAGTTAAAATATTGCATTACCGTGCATTTTCTATTTAAAAGATAAAAAAACAATGTTTGAGAATGTTTTTAAATTAATTTTTCTTCACCATTTGACTTATTCTCACCTCTCTGCAAATTTGGCCGGTTTTTGCAAAATAACCCTGTATAGAACTTTGGTAATTTTAAATTTATAAATCAGTTTTTAGTTATAGATTTCGATCCGATTGAGAATGCGAGGTTTTATCAGATCTCAACGTTTATATGCAAGTTGTGTATATGCAAGTAATTAAGTATGCAGTAATGGCCCGCAGGGTCAATCGTTTTTCAGATAATAAAAGTGATTAAAACTTTTTAGGGACTTCCTCGATTTATGTTTCTTCGCTCTCCAGTAAAACTGTCTTTTATTCTATACTCGATTTAGAACGGAACAGCCAATTTACTGAAACAACACTTTTTCATTTTTCAGGGAAACCAATTATTTTCATGGGTAAAACTAGGGAAATCAGCAAATGGAGTAATGTCTTCAGTGTCGGATATACAGACCGTAAGCCACTTTCGTATATTTTATTACCATCCTCTTAACATCTATTCCTGCCGTCAAGCAGCAGTACACGCAATGCTGTGTTCCGGTCTGAAGGGTACAGAGAACCAACAATATACAGAATGACTTTTTTACCGACTGGAAAAGTAGGGAGTAACAGGTGAACGGCATAGAAGCCTATTGCACTGATATTTTTCGATTTTTTTTTTGCTTTAAAATTATTTGACATGTTATGAAATTGATCTATCAATAAGTAGGTACTACTAATTTGAAATAAACTTTGGTACTGAAAATAAAAACAAAAATTTTGAACAAATTAAATAAATTAATTAAAAACTATCGAAATTAAAATAATACGCATTCAATTAGTATTTATTGATCTATTTCATAATATGTTAAGATGAAAAATAAAAAAATTTAAAATATCAGTGCTATGGGCTTCTACTCCCCTTACGTGTTACACCCTAATTTTTTCCAGACGCTAAAAAAACCATGCTATATAAGCTATGAGGCATCTTCATCTTAGCCCTCAAGGGTGGCCACGCGTCTGTAGCTTCCTTTGCTGAAAGTTGGTTGCAGACGTTCATGGGTTACAATAGTAACTTACAATTAAGTGAACTGTAATTTTTTATACAATAACGGTGACTAACGAGCACACAGTCCACCTGATGGTAAGTAGATGCTGTGGCCCATAGACATCTACATTTATCTTGAATTAACAATCAAAACGCAGATGTGTTGTCACCCCTGAGGACTAAGATGGAATGCCTCGTTTCCAGTAAAAAGGGTCTCCGGTTGTCTACACTCACCATACGAAACAGTGCAGCATTAAGCTGCTATTTTATGCTGGTGTTTCGTGATAGCGTGGTACTATCCCAGTTGAGCTGACCCATTCGTGCTGCAACCATAATATAGCTGCAGCGTGGTTCTACCACGTAACTGTAAATTTGTTTGTCATTTCAATTTTATACTACTACTAATGTAGGGTTATTTAGATTCACGATAATTATTAAAGACTATTATTGTATGAATATTTCGATTTGTCAAAATAAATTTCCAAGTTTTTTAGCTAAAATCATCGATCGATCGGAAGACCAAAATATCTGGACAAATTTTGATAACAACAGGATTTTGGAATTGTTATCGGGAGAAATAAATATTAAAAACAAAAAGTTTGTTTTTAGAAGAGGCCACAAAATGTACTTTAATTAAACAAACTTGATTTAAGTACACTCAATTTTTAGATTGCAACATGTATTTGGCATTGGACTTTACTGAGTCCACCAATTTGGATTCTTTAGTACATACATATAAACACTCACGCCTGTCACCCAGAAGGGTAGACTTCCATTTGGCACGATTCTGACATACCTCCCTCGCCTCCTTTACATCCATATATCTACGCATACACGCTCGTCGGTTAAGGGTACTTCTAATGTGGTCCATTTTCAAAATATCGCCAATTTGGTCGATAAACTTTCGTCTAGGGCGTCCCTTCCCGACTCTGCCGTTCACATCTGCCATATAAATTTGTTTTGTCACTCTTTCCTCATTCATTCTTTCTACATGACCAAACCACCGAAGCATTCTTTCCTTAATCCTGGTCATAACATCATCTTGCAAACCACATTTTTCTTTAGTAGTATTCAGAAAATAATTAAAATTCAAACAATTTACTTAAAAATTCAGTCTAGTTACTAACTCAGCTTTTATTCAATCAAAGTGCATACGTAAACTTTCCTAGAAGCTGTTGGTCTAGAGATTTAAATTTTTTTTCGGGAGTCTGGAGACCATTGACTATTGAGAGAAATGTCAGAAAAATTCTGATGAATCCAGACCATCTGGCTACCCTATCTATACCGTTCCTCGTAGTGCTCTATTTCTGTTCGTGAAGTTTCATTTCAATCCGTTTAGCGATTTCAAAGTTTAGCCCGAACTTTCACACAGGCAGACAAACAAAAATTTTAATATCTTAATAGCTTGCATATAATATTCTCAGTTATTTCGATGTTGCAGATATAAACTTTAATTTTATTTATATATGTAGATTAGAAGAGAGCCGCGGTAATCGCTGTGAATTCACAGGAAACAAGCACCTCGAGTTCGATCCCCGCCGGCAACAATGAAATTATTAATTTATTGATGATTTACCATGTGCAAAAGAGAAACACCGTGAGGAAACCTGCATGTCTGAATCCGTCTCAGAAATGATAGAAGCCCTGTGCCCAGCATTGGGACGTATATATAGGCTGTAACTGACTAAAAAAATGTGTAGATAAACTTTTAAAAACTTCCAGGTTATAAAAAGTGCTCGTTTTTCCTGGCCCCATGGCCTTCGCGCATCGGACGCGGGGGCGTCTGTTGCGCAGATGTAATTGGAGGCCGTGGAGGAAGGCGTGCCCATGTGTTCTGGTGCGCCTTACTTGGGAAGGAGAACAGTCGTACGTACCAGTGCGAAAGCGTTCCGTAGCCCTGCCAATATGCGACGAAGGTGGAACACCATGGGGTTTTAGTCAGTGCGAGTCCGACATAACCCGTCCTTGCCCCCCGCGAGGCGGGTATGCGTAGGCATTTCCCATGCAAAAAAAAAAAAAAAGTTATAAAAATAGTGATGTATATACATAATTCTAACAACATACGCAATTTAACGTGCTTTGGATATTTCAGGTGACATGGTTCTGAAACAAGAAATGTTTGCTTTAGAGTATATTAGTCGAACGACGTGCGAGGAATTTTATATAAAGGAGGAGGTAAAGTTAAGTTACAGTTAAGCTATTGGCATATAAAATACTGCAACTACTTTTACTATTTGAAAATGCTCGTTGTTATTGCATAATTATTGTAGGCTGGTGCTTTGATCGTGTCAAAAGTGGCAACGTAAGAACTAACTAGCCCAAATCGTCTCGTAGGTGCAGTAGGAGGCTGTCGCCTCTTGTTTTTCGTTCGATCGTAAGAGATGGGTAACTGTCGATTCTTGTTCTCCTACTGATGTAGAAGATAGGATTTTTAATAGCATCTCTCTGATTACAACTCAAAATTATAAAAAATCAGCAGCCGCCAACCCGGGTTTCTATAACAAAAACCTTTCATATGAGACAATCTATGTGGAGACCCAGGTTCAGGAGTGGACTTCGATAATCTCCAAAGAGAAAATGGTTAAAAGCTAGCGCTTAGCGTTCAATTTAAACCGGTGAAAATTTTCACTGATAACTAGGCATTTCATCTCAATCCACAGAGATCTATCATCTGATTCTTAATCTCAGACTACATAAACTCTCGAGCCTGTAACCTAGAGAGGTAGGCAAAGACCATTCCATTATCACGATCCTGACGCACCTTTCGCGCTTATTTCAAATCCATATACCTTTTTTGATACAATAAGGATAACAAACGAGCACACAGTTCATCTGATGGTAAGTGGATGCTGTGCCCCATAGACATCTACACCTATTCTCGATTAAGAATCAAAACGCAGATGCGTTGTCACCTCTCGTGCCTCGACCTAAATGCCTCGTCTTCAGTAAAACAGGGTCTCCGGATCTCTACACTAACTATACGAAACACAGCAGCATTCAGCTGCTATTTTACGCTGGTATTCTGTAAGAGCGTGGTCCTACCCGGTCTAGCTGACCCATTCGTACCACAGTCATAATATAGGTACAGCGTGGATCTCCCGCTTATGAAATACCTACTCTTATTTTGGTCCGTTTTTATTAAATCACCAATTTGGTCGACAAACTTCCATTTACTCGTAAGAGTCTAGGGGGTCTCTTGCCAACTCTGCCGTGTCCATTAGGTGTCTAATCCGTTTAGGTGTCTATCTTATTCCGCAGCAGAACAATATAGACACCTAAACGGATTTAACTCGGTTGGGCAGCGTTTGGTAGATTACAATACGTCTTCTCGTCACGTATAATAACAAAGATATCATGAAAAAATGCACATCTAAGGTATGAACAAATAGTTTAAGACATGTTGTGTCCAACAACAAACGTTGGTTGGCGCAGTGGGCATGTCTTTGCCCCAAAACTCTATCGGAACCAAGAGGAGGCCTGTTACCAGTTGTGGGGCGTAGACGTATATAGGCTGTAACTAAATTCAAACTGATTTTGTCATTTTTTTTAAATTTCAGATAAATTTTGATTATCTATGGCCTACGAATGCAGTGTGCTACAAAGTCTTAAGCTCCAGGAAGACGTGCGTAAATAATGCGGGGATGGTTCTGGCCGGAAAACTCACTGATGGATGGGTTTTAGTAAGAATTATATTATGTATTTCTATTTATCTTATATGAGTGTTTTTTTTTTAATAAAAACTCAAGAGGTTATCCAATAGCACATATCTTCCCGTGGATGTCGTAAAGGATGACATAGGATAGCTGGAACAGGAGGTGGGAAGCAATATTTTTTTTAAACGTTACCCCCACACTAGGATTTTCTTCTGTATCATGAGGGCAGGCATTTAAAAACATAAATTGCACAAAGACAAATATTCAGGACCCGGAACAATTATTTGTAGGCCATACAAATACATGTTCCGTGCGGGATTCGCCCCCGCGACTTCCAGCGCAGCCACTCATTGCTAAGCCACTGCACCACGGAGTCGCCAAGTAGTAATGTTGCAACTTTCCTGATGCCAACTCAAAATAATAAAGAACTGCGGCTGTCAACCCGCCTGGCAAGAGCTACAATTATGGCAAAATGCCCTCTAGGGGGATATCTTTGGGTGAGGCCTATGTTCACCAATTAAAGCCTTGGATATACCTACGTGGGGACAAAACAACATGTTGCGCAACATGTCACTCAACAATTATGTGGAATGTCCCGAGACATACATCGCGGAACATTTTGCAGGCCACACTAGTCAGTGTTTATAGAAATGTCGCCCGAGGAGGTTGTGGCAATTAGTGCTCCGTACATAGTACTTAAGCGAAAGAGAGAGTGGTGGATGCGAAATTTCTTATTACAACGAGAAGAAAGAAGAATTCATATTTTAAGTGATCTCCGAATGTCTGATGGGTCTTTCGTGAATTTTATTCGAATGTCGACATTTGATTCTGAAACTTTACTACAAATCATCAGACCTTCCATAGCTAAACTGGATACAATACTACGGAACGCCTTTGGCCCTCATATCAGACTTGCCATTGCATTAACAAAATGTCGCGAAATTGACGCGGGACACGTGCGCTCGCCCTCGGTGCGGGAATAAGCAACATGCCCCACGTCACGTAAAATGTTGCGGGCCATCTTGCGAGTCACTGTGCAACGTTGCATCGTTACTTAGACTGAGTGTTCCGCGTCATGTTGCGGGACAAAATGTCCCCTAGTGTATACGGGGCTTAAGGATCTGATGGTACTGCAGTCTATGATCAACAACTTTAAACAAAGAAAGCTACAAGTGTGTTGTCAACTCTAAGGGCAAATATTGGAGGCGATTCAGAAAACTGATAACATAATGGAGGGATACAGTTCTGGGTTACAACTACATATCTATAATTTACATTTTTTGGTAGGAGAGGGGTCAAACAAGCATACGGCTCACCTGATAGTAAGTGACTACCGCCGCCCATGAACAAATGCAACATCAGGGGAGTTGCAGATGCGTTGCCGGTTGCCTTTTAAAAAGTAGTTGGCTCTTTTCTTGAAGGTTCCTAAGTGGTATCGGTAAAATATCTGGTGGTACTCGATTCGACACGGAAGTTGTGTGAGGAAGAAAACTTTTTTTTAAATCGCACAGTGGTGGACCGCCAGTCATCCAGATTGTATGGATGGTATCGCGAGTTTTGTCACGATGTGCGATGGTGAAATTGTGCGGCTGGAATTAGTCAGAACAATTCCTTAGAGCACTCCCCGTGGTAAATGCGATTAAATACGCAAAGAGATGGCAACATCTCTACGCAGTGCCAGTGAGTCGAGCCGATCGGAAAGAACTCAGTGGCCGACAATCCGAACGGCTCCGTGCTGGATGCGATCAAATGGAAGGAGCCGGCACTGAGGGGGGCCAGCCCAGAGAAGGGAACATGTGCGGTCGAACCTGCGCCTTGTAAAGTTGCATCAATAATTTAACCACACCACTCAACAACTAAAAGATCAAAGAATTCGTTACGTTGAGTGGTAACTGTGACGCATTGCGCCCGACGGAGATGTTAGCGCTTCTATTGAAGGACGTTTCAATTTGTTTAATTTTCTTTAGTACAAATTTTGACGTTACGTAGATGTATTCAGTCCACAATACATCCACAACCCGATTTTTTATTTTTATTATATTGTTGCGTGAATAAGTCAACATCATACACTAGCGCCATCTAGTGTCAGGAACGCGAGCGAGGGGAGCTTTGCAGAAAATGACATCACAAATCTTTCAACCGACAGCGCCATCCGAAGAACTAAGTTTCTAGAAAATCTACACTCGAACAATATAGAAGATGGTTGACAATAGGGTATTACACCCATTTTCAAAAATTGTTCTAAATGAATCCTAGAGTGGTAACGAGCCACTATATTTTTTTTAAAACCGAATAGTGCCATAAAAATTACTTTTAATCTATCGTTTTAAATTTTCGCGTGAAAACGCTAGCCGCCATGTTGATCAACTCGTGACATCACAGTCGACAATTTTGCCAATTTTGCAAAGGAATAAGATACTTTTTATTGTTTAATAATGAGTTATCATCTAAATCATTGTTGTGTTGTGCCTGAACGTAAAAATACGAGCATAAGAACGCCGGGAAAGTTATGAATTCACGTCCAAGTATTTAAATATAAGAAATACTTGGCTAAAAGTGGCAAGAAAATACTCGAATACATGTCTACAAAAACCAAACTATTGTTCTGTGAAGATCATTTTCATGCAAGTAAAACTAAATGACGAAGTATGATTTTCACCAACACAAATAATAATTTTGTCTCACAAACCATATTCTTGATTGAGAACAAACTTTTTAATATACTTTCAGTTAAGGGGATATAGTAAGTCAGCTCAAATTCTAATTTCGTCCCCACTTGGCCGCGCGTCGTACGCTATGTACCGATATGTTTGTAATCACTAATACTGTAAGTAGAAAGGTCGTTAGATTAGATTATTTCATTAGGTTTATCATATTTAAGGCTGTTTCTTAACGCCAAGCTAGTCGCTTCTTATTTTTTATTACGGTTATTTCCCATTTTAATTTTACGTCGTTCTGTTGCGTAATGTTTATTCTGATCGTAAGCGACATAACCTCCTCCTTCAAAGGCCGAAGCGAAGTGACCGGGCGGCAGGAATCAAGCTTCAAGAAGCCGATAGTTTAGGTAATTTCTTTTTACGGTGAAAATAATGGTATTTTAAAAAAAGTAAGTAACATAAGCACTGCTTTATAGTTAGTTCAGTTAGTATGCAATATTTCATGATCTTATTTAAAGTATTTTATGAATAACAGCGGTTTATTGTTTATTTGGAGGTAACTTTGGTTTTTTTTTCTATCGAGAAAATTTAACGAAATCGTGTTTTCGTCTAACATAATCCTTAACATTAATCCTCAACTTTACCATATATTTATTTTAAAAATTAATGCTGCAATATTTTCGGCATAACGAAGGATCTTGCTAAGCCATTTGAGATTATATTTCCCCTTAAGGCATCAGGTTTTGTAAAACTATTTATATCATATTCCTTACATTTACTATGTTCTCTCAAACGAAGCAACGCTGGCTAAATCGACACATTGTTGCGTTCCAAATATAAATATTCTTGTAATTTGAGTGCAATATTAAAAAGAGAAAAATATTTATATTTGTGATCATTCAGGATCATTTTATATCATTCATTTGAAAAGAAAAGTATAAATTGGTTGCAGTGTTGAACACACTAGGTTCAAACCGAATAAGAACAAACTATGATTTTCAATCTTTTATTTTTAATTTAGATGGGTTTAAGTACTCATGGACCAGGATGTTCATTGCCAGCAAGATATATAAATATATTTCCTTACGTGAGGTGGATAAGAGACAGTACTGGAGTGACAAAAGCAACTCGACGGTCTAGTTACTATCACAGTGCCATCCAAAACGTGTATGGATTTAAATCGTTTATTGATATGTTCTTCAAGAGTCTTAGAGACACTTCAATAGTTCTGAAACCTGGTGAGTTGATGAAAAGTAATTTTTTTAAATATAATTTTAGTATAAGGCATCAATGAACATGTTATATAATACAGCGGTCATTGTGACAAATCTTTAATCACGTTACTGTGAACCATCTTAGTCTCAATATGAGATGGCTCATTGCCAATAAACGGGTATCTGGTTACACTCATCCTGCGAAATGCAACAGTATTAAGCTGCTATTTTGCGCTAGTATTTTGTGAGAGCGTGGTTTTCCTGATCAAGTGGACTCATTCATGCTGCAGCCATATTAGGCTGAAGCTGGCTCTTTAAAGTATGAGGAAATACTTGAAACCGCCTGCTTCCAGCTAAGGAATCAAAATGTTGACAGAGACAGCAAGATACGGAAAAAACGTTTTCATTGCCTACTATTTGGTACTCGGTGTGTGGCTGCCGCAGAAAAAATAATTGTGGAAATATGGTTTTAAATTTCGAAGAGTTATTTTTATTATTGTATATTAGTTAATAAGGAATGATATTGTATTCATTCAGGTTTAATGATATATATCTTTCAAAATTTGTCGATACGATAGGTGGCGCCACCTACACTACAATTTCATTGTAACCTTCGCGCAAGTGTCAACTTATTGCTTAGTTGACAAAGATTAATCTGAATGATGATGAAATATAAAATACGAATAAACAAACATTAATTTTTATATAGTGAAAAATAGTTTTCTCCTTCGAGTTGAAAGTTCCTCTTCAACCTCTATACATCTCACTGTTGTTAATACGCCTTCTAGCATTTCTGAGGAATTTTAGGGCGTGAGGTTGGCGGACCTCACATCTATTCCTTAGACATTTAGCTTTCCCCTCGATGTTTTCTTTCTCCGATTTGCACGTGGTGCTTAGGGTGACAAACTAACATACAGTCCACCTGATGGTAAGCTGATGATTAGGCTCATAATAGACATACTCAATTAGAAATGAAAATGCAGATGCGTTGTCATGCCTGAGGACTAAGATTAAATGCCTAGTTTCCTGTAAAAATGGTCTTCTGGTGTTGAAATAGACCAGCATTAAGCTGCTAGTTTACACGTCTATTCTGTGAGAGTGTATTCCTACCTGGAGCAAGCTGACCGATTCGTGCTACAACCATAATATAGCTCCAAAATAAAACAGTGTATCAGCACCTGAATTCATTAATATTTTATGAAATCAGACGTCATTTTGCTTGAATTAAATATAATAAAGATCTTAAAAACTAATATGTTTTAATACAATATCGTTTAATTTTTTTTTAGAATTGGCGAATAAATCTGAAAAGCTAACGGGCTGCTATTATGACACAGATTATAAGACACTAATATACAGAGAGACTGTCATCCTTAAGACGTATAATCCTTTAGCTATTGGTACATATGCCGTAAGTTTTTTTTTTCAGTACTTCAGTTGATATAAATGACATTTTTATAATAGAATATGGGGGACAATCGAGTACGCAAACCTCCTGATGGTAAGTGATAGCTGTAGCCCATAGAAGTCGACATTATCCTCAATTTAGAATCAAAATGCAGATACCTTGTCACCCCTGATAACTAAGATGGAATGCCTCGTTTCCAGTAAAAAAGCTCTCCGGTTCTCTATACACACCCTACGAAACATAGCAGTAGAGAGCGTGGTCCTACCCCGGTCGAGTCAACCCATTCATGCTACAACCACGTGTACGCGTATTATATACACGTGTGTTATATTGGGGGCAATAATTTGATTGTTATGGGCATGAGGGCAAATATTATATTGTTCTAAACTTTAACTCAGTTCGTAAAAGTAGGAATAATAATAATAATGTCCTCCAGACCGAATTGTCGGTCACGGCGGCCAGCTTCAACGGAGACCAGCCATCGGTGCAGGACAGGATTATAGTGCCCAAGTGTATGCGCAAGCACAGGTGCACTCTCTATTCCCTCACTCTCACAATCTGATGGGACGGTAAACCGACACGACCGGAGAGAGAGTCAGGCGCAGGACCAACGGCTTTACGTGCTTTCCGAGCCACGAGGGTGAGTGAGATACCGCCAACTTCTTCCTGACTCCGGGCAACTACTGAGAATTTCTTGATGTATAAACTCAACAACTAAGTTTTTGGCCCGACCCGGGATTCAAACCCAAGACCTCATGATCAGTAGTCGCACTACTACAACCACTAGACCAACGAGGCAGTCAAAAAGGAATAATAATATTAGAGAAAGGGATAAAACATTAAAGTTTAATAAAACTTATTTAATAACTAAAAAGTTTTATTAAGTTTATTAACGATAAAACTATTATTAAGTTTTATTAACGATAAAACATACAGTCCACCAGATTATAAGTGGATACAGCGCTCCATGAACACCTGCAGACAATTTTAAGCAAAGAGCAAGCTACACATTTAAAATAAAGCTAGTTTTTAGGTATCTTATCGTGTATATCAACTTATTTTATATTCTATATTCCCGACGCTTAGAGCACTTTACAGCACCCGTGGTCACTGAAATATAGAATATTAATAAGTTCATATACGCGATAAAATCCGTGAAAACTAGCTTTATTTAAAAATAAGATTTACAGTTGCGTTGTCACCTCTGAGGAGTAATATTAGATCGTGTATTGTGGTATTTGTTGTGCGAGAGAGATGAGGCTTCAGTTTAGCACTGGACTTGTGAAGGGCTGTAATATTGACGATGAATTATGATAACATTGCCAACGTATTATTTAATTTACATTATTTTCATAGATATCAGTCATTTTATAAATATGTCATTAAATATAAAAATTTGTTAATATGACTACAGCACCACCTACCGGAGCCTAGCATAACTATAAATCATCTGGTCTGTTCCTTAATAGTTTATACAGCATGTTACATAATTAACGCACATCCTGGAAGTAGTTTGTTCCTCGTTGTTGTGATTCCTGTAATTTTTAATATAGGTAATTTTTTATCACAAAAATAATTAAAACTACGTAAATTACAGTCACACTAAATCTGTACAGTCAAAACAAACTGAAATGGACCGTAACTTATGGCAATAAGATTTTTAAGAGTACAGTTTTATTTGTATTATTACTAATTCTGTCATTCAATAAAAATAAAGAAAAATGAACTTTATTTCAAGCACGTTAAAGTCTGCGTTCGTGGATTTTTGCTGTGACCACAACATTCTTCCGGAATTAGTATAACTAATTTGATAAATAATCAGTGCATAGAAATGTTTAACTAAAAATTCAGTGTATGTATTATGATTATAACATAGTATACTAATTGGGGTGTCTGAGGGTGTGCGTTGGTTACGTTACATATTGTATACACTAATGATGCTATAAGGCGATAGTTTAGTCTGTTCGCTTGGATACAGTCGCCTTTGTGTTGCGCCGCCCTGGCACGTGCCGCATCTTGTCAACGGTGCCGCAACAACTTCAAAGGCTGCCACGTACGGCGTACTCCCGCAGGAAAAATTGACATTTTAAAACGAAATGCCGTTATGAAAGGTTCTTTGCTACCTAACTTGTGTTTGTTATTTATATTCGTATTTTATTACAATAACCGTAAGTGTAATATAGAATTCTATTTTATTTCTAATAATATATATTCTAAAATAGAAAAACATTTATTTAACAAACACAATAATAATAATAAAATAAAGGCAAAATGATAAGTGCGCCTCCATGTGTACCGACACTATATAAGCGAACAGGCTATAACCGGTCTTACAGATAATATAATATTTACATTTGTATGTGTAAAGCCTATCTACACTAATATTATAAAGAGGAAAGATTTGTTTGTTTGAATTGAATAGGCTCTGAAACTACTGAACCGATTTGAAAAATTCTTTCACCATTAGAATCCTACATTATTCCTGATGAACATAGGCGATAGAACGTTTTCAAAAAATTTAGGGATCCGTATGAAAACTTCGTTAATGTAACCCAAGGTATGAAGAAAATACCAAAAAAAAACCTTATATCGCGTACGCTGCGTTGCAGTCTAAGTAGAGACATCTATCTACAAAAAGTCGAATACAATGCTAACGTATTCAAATACTTTTCATCATACTTATCATTATCTATACTTATATAAAAAAAATATATAAAAAAAAAAAAAAAAAAAAATATAAAGAGGAAAGATGTTTTTTTAGTTTTGTACCAAATAAGTCCGAAACTACTGGACCGATTTTATTCAATTTTTACCAATAGAAAGCTAAATTATGGGGGGGGGGGGGTGAGTGGATAAAATTTCAATTTTCTGTATAACGTGTATATACGCGGGGACCGCTATAAATAAAATTGAACTTTCTTTCCGTAATTATTCATAATTGAAATAAAAACACCCCTTTCATTAGAATACTGAGGCTATTCTTTTGCGTAGTATTACTTCAAAGCAACCTTGTTAAAAGAAAAAGAATGTACAAATAGTTTTTCTTTACTTTTTCAGCTTTTATTTTTCGATATGAACTTCGACAAAGTTACGTGCGTTCAGCTTAGTACGGTATGCACTGCGAAGAGCGACACGAAATTGTGGTTCTATTCACGGGCCCACACGTCACAGGCTATGAAGTTTGCGAAAACTTATCTGGCAAGAATAAAAGAAAAAGCTAGACTCGACAGCTACTTGATGATCAATGATCCGAAGTTCATCAGGAGCATAGATAATAATCACTTGCAATTTAGGTTCTCTTTCTCAAAATTTGCTAAGATTAAGGTGGCTTACTACGGGAATTTAAACAGTACATAATTCGTAACTAGCTTTTATACGCCGATGCATTGTATTTACGGCCCATTATTCACGCGCTTGATAATATTTTGTTAGTGTGTAAGGGTGTGTGGTTTTTGTTTATAAGGATGGATATTCCGAATGTGGTAGAGCCACGCAGCAGTTTTATTATGATTGTAGCATGAATGGGTCGGGTCGACCGGGTCCCGCAGCATCCGTCCGCCATCAGGTGGACTGTGTGCTTGTTTGTAACTCTAATTCTATTAAAAAGGGGCAAACGATTATGCGACTCAACTGATACAACTAATAAAGTAAGTGAAGTAAGTGACTACCGCCGCACTACATTACACCACCAGTGTATATGGGTATACCTAAGAGATTTCCACCTATGTACTGACTCATCACGATATCTCTGGAACCATAAGACCTAGAGGCTCGAAATTTGGGAGGAATATTCCTTTCGCCTAATAGAGGTCAGCTAAGAACGGATTTCACGAAATTCCACCCGCAAGGAAGGTTACGGGGAGTTATTTTTAAAAAAATTATATTCTTATAGCCCTTATAAGTTTAGAACTTGGCCGGAATATTCTTTTTGGCATGTTAAAAATTACCAAAATCAGATTATATGAAATTCCACCAGGGCATTGCGGGTACTTTAAAAATAATTTTTTTTATCAATAGCTCCTACAGGTTTGTAATTTGTCGAAATTATTATTTTTGTCATCTTGAGTTCAACTGAGAACGAATTTTACGAAATTCCACTCACGAAATGGATTGCGGAAGCGTTATAGTGAAATTTAAAAAAAAATATTGTTATAGTTTGGACTATAATGAATAGTTTTTGTGTGCATTTGAGTGGGTTCTTGGATGAATTAAACACTAAATTGGACTCGGTAGGTGTTGTCGAGCTCCGGAAGTCACCCGTGCGAAGTCGGGGCGGATCGCTAGTGAAAGTATATATGTGTTTATGTGTGCGTATGTCATGTTTATATTCGGATACACGATGTATAGCTATATTCAAATAATATTTCATATACTGATTTCTCTCACACTCGCTTCTCTGAATGTTTTTTTTTTCAAGTACGCTATAAGTAAGATATGTCCCTCTGTGAAGTAAATATTGGGCTTAACTTAAAATCAGCGCTACTATCATTAAGTAGAACAACAATTAGCTTAAACAGAAACCTAATCACACAAATTCTCTTGTAATTTTTTGATATAATAATTTTTTTCTTGTAATAATTTTTGGCCGACTTAAAAGAAGGATCAGGTTATCGAGAATTCGACTGTATGTTTTTGTATGTATCTTCGTCAATTCGAAAGCGATTGTAATGATTGTTTTTTATTAAACAAGCTTAACCCCCAAGGTATCCTATTTAAATGTGTATAAAAACTCCACCGCTGTGGTTGGAAAAATAGGGGGTGAAGTTTTTGATAAACTGTTAGAACATGACATTTTGGTTAATTAAGAATCAGGTGTTACTTTGCGAATTAGAATAAATATGTTAAAAATTAACATGAAGTTTTATTAAAACCTAGTTCGAAGAGCACCTCCCCCCCTGAAATGCGTGCACTATCCTCGTCACCACTAATCTCAACACCAATACTATCACCAACACTACACCAGAAAAAACACACCACCGTTAATAATACGACACGAGTTTCGCCTCTAAATAATTTTCTCTAATTAATTTTGAAACCTTGAATGTTCGCTATTCCACTCAATAGGGTCAAAAATTAAACATAAATTAAATGAAAGATATCAATCGACCATAAAAAATATCCCAGGATAGCTTCGGGGACTTTAATTTTTGTACACACTATGTCTTAGTACCGACTTTAATTTTAAGTAATTACGTAGAACTTATTTTATATTAATTGGTTTTCATCTTTATCACAAGATATTAGAGGGCACAGATCGTAAGTTAAAGGTCTGTGTGTCTGACATTACAGATGTTTTAAGCCAATCGGAAAATATTTACAAAAAAATAGGACAGTTATAGTGCAACAATTGTACAATTTCATGTGTTGATTTACCACCTGCTCACGGCGATGGAAAATATTGTGCGAAAACTTGCGAAATTAAATATCTCGTAGAATTGTGAGTTCTTTGAAGCCCCAGCGACTCCGACTTCAGACCCACCCACGCGGACGCATGAGTCGGGTGGTTCCCTGCCTGTAATTTATGGAACCATAGGGCCTATGGTTAGTCGCTATTCATCCCTTGGATTTTGGTGACAACGACTTTCGCTCCAAGCTCGGCGAGTTCCTTGGCACTCTAGAAATTTATACTGCTGGCAATCACCAATGTGTCGCCGGCATAACACACATACACATATTTATGCCATCGGTTGAGTCGACTCGTAGAACCGCATCGTAAGCGAGGTTCCACAGTAGTAGACCCAGCACCAAGCCCTGTGGAACTCCACGTTTGATCTCCTTTCGGATCTTCCTACCATCTTGTGTTCAATATGGTCGTAGTATGGACGTAGTGGTCTAATTGCTACATATCTCTCCCAAAATGAGTAGAGTCCTAAAGTGTAACTTTAAAGTTTAAGTGAATAGTTAAAGCTACTTTCTTGCCTTACAATGGACTTTATCTGTGCCCTTTGTAACGGTAACTTCCGCATGCAAGCCCCGGTGATTAGACTCGTATTGCTATAACAAATCATCACCTTCAATTAACCTCATCATAATTATATTTTTATTAATATACACAAGGCTAAGCCCAATGAAGCAGTAAAATCCAATATATAAATGCAACAAACTCACATGAAGAATCGGATGCGGTTAAAAGATTAATGAACAGTTTAACGGGGACTTGATAAGTGCTCCTTATCTTCAACAGCAATGACCAAACTTCACGAAATACAAGCGTAAAATTTTAGCAGTGGTAGGTAGAGCCACGCGGCAGCTTCTGCTTTTATACGGAAGGTTCGACTGGGGAAATACCACTACCTGACAGATTAGCAACGTGAAAAAGAAGTCTTGCTTCTGCGTTTCGCTTGGTCAGTGCAAGTGGCCGGAGGGTAACTTAACATTGTAGCGGAATTTAAAATAAAAGACTACCCCAGGGGGATACCAGCACACCTGGTAATGGATAATCTGAGCATCCATGCTCAAGCTAACATTCCCGAGCGTGGGTGCTCAGGCTGCCCTGTATATTCTGGGGGAACGGGGCAAATCCCGCTCATTACTAATACTACACGGCGTAAACAGAGTGATAAAATCATGCCGACCCCTGCCACGCAAGCCATGAAACCTCTGAAACTTATGGAATATCACTCAAATCGTCCGCGGTCCACTACCACCTGGAGACAGTGAAACCGGCCTTGCTCTATATGGTCGAGACGCGGGTGTCCTCTCCTGCTGATATGAGTATATCGTAACTTTTCTCTACCCGGGGTACAAATTGCAACAGTCCTTTGTGCACAGGGCTGGAGTTTGCGTATACGTCAGAGAAACATGACGAGAGATGACGTCTCGGCAGTCTTCAAGGTTCGGACCTGTCCATTCTTAGGCTGCGCGTAAACAGCGATGCCCATCCCCGCGCCTACGGGTGCCTCTATAGATCCCATAGCGGTAATGTTGACAGATACAGACTAATAGACCACATCCAAATGGTTACAGATTCTTTGGTACAACAAATCCCATCCGCAGAGATCGTGATCCTTGGTGATTTTAACGCCCACCACACCGAATGTTTCGGTTCACATTTAACCAATCATGCGGGGAGATCTGTTAAACTGGTTACTTCGACTACGCAGATTCCAGATGTGGAGAAACATGCACCTTCTCTGTTTGACCTTCTGCTGATCTCTCACCCGGGTGGATATCGGATCCGGAGTATGGTGCCACCTACGCTCCCTTTGCGGTAGCGTTCTGCTCGCTGCCTCCGTGTTTGGCATTACTGCCGACGGGTTGGAACGGAGTGCGGTCTTTGTTTGCATCCTACCCTTGGGATCGGTTTTGCTTCTTGCCAGGTGATCCTAACGTATTTGCTAATTCTGTCAATGATGGGGTGCTTCAGTGAATGGAATTATTTATTCCATCATCTGTGGTAACCGTTGGAGGCGGATCTAAGCCTTGGTTTGATCGCTTCGTTGAATCATTACGCTCTAAACAGGAGTGTTTTCAGGCCTGGGTTGACGCTTTGGTGGCCCTCGATGTGAACACCGGTATTCTCAAAAAGAATTATAACTCCACCTCAAGGTCCACCAAAAAAGTTTTTGCCAAGGCAAAGTATGAGAATTGGCTGGAAGTTAGTTAGCCTATCTTCAGAAATCCATGGCGATGTCCCAAATTCATGGAATCCAGCATTTCGTGCACCCGATCACTAAAAAAGGTAAAAGCTTTGATCCGTCCAACTACAGGCCTATCGCCATGACCTCCTTTTTATGGAAAATAATGGAGTCCATTATTAACTGATAGCTCATGCAGTACCTTGAGGAACGCCAGCTTTATTTTTAATATTATTAGTGATCGTCACTATGGCTTCCGTCAGAGTCGTTTAGCTGGTAATATTCTTGTTTACCTAAAACATTCTTCGCGGTTAGTCAGGACATAGTGAAAGCCTTCGATCGGTTTTGGCACAAAGCACTTCTTTCGAAACTTCTATCTTATGGGCTTACCGAGAAACTACGAAACTTGGTCACCATCATTTGCATAATTTGCATTTTGATGCGACAGCGTACAGCGCAGAGCGGCTCTAATCGTCGATGACCGCTTTTGCTTCGAGTGGCTCGATACACTGGCGCTGCGAAGAGATATTACATCTCCTTGCATTTTCTATCACATCTACTACGGGAGTGATCAGAGAAATTATTCGGACGTGTCAAAACTCGCGATACTCTCCATACCATGTGGATGATTGGTGGTCCACTAATTTGAGATTTACAAGAACTTTTCTTCCTCGCATATCTTTCCTGTGGAATTGACTGTCACCAGCAATTTTTCCGGACATAGGGACTTTCAAGAAAAGAGCCTACTCTTTTTAAAAATTTCGGCAACGCATCTGCAAT